ATATGGAATGTGGCTTCAAAATGACCCATGCTATAAAGAGCTTACTTACTTACCAATCCAACATTGCACTGTTCTGTCTTCCTGGCAAGCATTGGTGCATGTTAAGACACAGATACTTTTCTGTATTAAGCATCCAGTCTGAATTGGTTCAAGGTCGTAGCCTTTCCTTATTCATCTACTTGAATATTTAAGCTTGTCTCAAGCAGGTGATACTGTTTTCCCACATACATTAATATATATAGTTGCTAATGTGGAAGTATTGGTGAACAAGAATTTGCACTAGGTACTAACAGATGACCATCCTGCCAACAAAAGTGGGTATAGTCAAGGCGATGGTTTTTCCCAGTTGCAATGTATGGCTGTGAACGTTGGACCATAAGAAAGGCTGAGCACCAAAGAATTGAGGCCTTTGAACTATAGTGCTGGAGAAGACTTTTGCGAGTCCCTTGGCGATCAAGGCGATCAAACCTGTCAGTCCTAGAGGAGATCAACTCTGACTGCTCTTTAGAAGGCCAGATCCTGAAGATGAAACTCAAATATTTTGGCCACCTAATGAGAAGGAAGGACTCACTGGAGAAGAGCCTAATGCTGGGAAAGATTGAGAGCAAAAGAAGAAAGGGACGACAGAAAATGAGGTGACTGGATGGAGTCACCAAAGTAGTCGGCGTGAGTTTAAATGGACTCTGGGGGATGGTAGAAGACAGGGAGGCTTGGAGGAACGTTGTCCATAGGGTTGCGATGGGTCAGACATGACTTCGCCACTAACAACAACAACTAACAGATGAAGAGCAGCCACCTTCCTACACGTCTCCTCTTTTGCCAATGTGATCAGTAATCATTGTGGAACATTTTTGGATTCCAACCTAGTTTTGGGAGGCAGCCTAGAACAAACAGGTTTCAATAGGAGGATTTGTGTGGGAGGAAAAGAACTGGCATAGAAATCAGAGAGCACATAATTTGACAAGAGATAACAAGGAAAATGTTCTAATACTGAACTGAGGAAGGATCTGCAGGAAAAGCCTGCTCTGTGCCAAAGGAACAGCAGAATGAGAAGGAAGTCTCACTTGCTTTTATTTTATTTTATTTGAAAGAACATGTTTTATATATAGGATGAGATTTGTCATTAAAGGGCATTCGGAAGGTTTACATAACTGCACATTTTTTTCACAACATATAACGCTAATACTAAAAATGCTGTGACATTAATTCCATTAAAGGAGGAAAAGTATAAAACAAGTTAAAAGTGAACTTTCTACCTGGTGGGCCGGCAGAGGCAAGCTGGAGTCTTGTAAAAAAACTCTTTGACTTACCTTGAATTCCATGGTGACCTTCATGCCTTAATCTCAACATTCTCCTTCGTTCACAGGTTTCTGTCCTTGTACAGTTTCTCATCGAAAATTGCTGCAGGATCTTTGGGGAAGAACTTACTTCTGTCTTTGCAGATATTATGCCCAAAAATGACAACCGGGAAGATGGTTCAGGTAAGATAAACTAAAGAGAAAAAAAAGCATAGTGGGAGGAAATTGCAATATTCTAGCTTTTTAGCCTAGTTTTTGCAACTTGTTGTTTTGGCATTTTTTAAAATGAGGATTGCAACGGAGGTGGTATTCAGGCAGTTCTGACCGGTTCTGGAGAACCAGTAGCGGAAATTTTGAGTAGTTCGGAGAACTGGCAAATACCACCTCTGGCTGGCTCTGCCCCTTCTATTTGCTGCCTCCCAAATTGCAGCTGATCAGAGTCTCAGCTGATCAGATGGGTCTTCTTCTGTTGCCCTGCAGCAGAGAACGGAGCTGGATAGTAGGTTAGTGGGGTGGGGAGGGAATGTGGATTTTACAATATCCTTCCCCTGGAGTGGGGTGAAATGGAGATTTTGCAGTATCCTGCCATACCCACCAAGCCACGCCCACCAAGGCATGGTACTCCTACAGAACCGGTAGTGAAAAAAATTGAATCCCACCACTGGATTGCAATATATGTTTCAGAACACTCAATGGGGCTAGTCAGCTTGTGGTCAAAAACGCAAGAGACTCTTAGGAACAAGTCACATGAAGGTGACTGAGTAGCCTTCCACATAGCCATCATTCTGCTGGAAGGTATCTCAGGATGTCTCTAAGAATAGATAAAATTAGTTCAACAACTGATAAGCATATTTGCAGGTTTGTTTGTTTGTAAAATTTATTAGCTGCCCATCTTTGCCACATGGTAACTCTGGGTGGCTTACCTTATTAAAAGACAACACTGTATAATTTATAAGAATGGAAATAACAATACTATAACATCAATTTATTTGAAAAGATGAGGGGAGGGAATAAGTTGAGAGGAGAAGTGGGGTGGGATCTTTGTTAATCAATCAACCCACCCCCTACATGAAACTCCTCTGTCGAAGCCCCAAGCCAACTGGCAGAACCAGGTTGGAGCCGACTTCAGCTTGGGGGTGGGTGGATGGGAGGGAGCTTAAGATGTTCCAGAGGACAGGTGCAGTGGCAGAATAGTCCCCTTTCTTGGAGCCCACTAGCCGGAATACTCAGGCTGATGGGGCCTGCATTATGCTTCCTGTGCTGGCATGGGTGAGGTGGACCAATCCCAGTGGGATGGGACAGTTCTCCGGGTAGCCTGGAACCATCCCATAAACGGCTTTAAGGGTAATTACCAGCACCTTGAATTGCACCCAGAAACAAATCAGCAGCCAGTGCAGCTCGCAGAGTGGTGGTTACTGTATATGGGCCATGCTTGGGCTCCCAAAAACTGCTTAGTCTCCCCCCCCCCCTGCACTCTGCACCAGCTGCAGCTTCCAAATGCTCCAATATCGACCTCTGTAAAGTAGTAAATAAGCCTACTGTTGTTTTATTCAGAGTTTTTGCTCTAGATTGAGCTGATGAAACCTTAAAATTCGGTAACACCCGTTTTCATATTTTTGCAGATCTCTCTTCTTTTCATCTGAATGACTCCTCCTACGACAGTTTGGAAAACGAACTAAACGACTGCGCGGACCCCGCATTTGACAACCTTTTTAAAAAACGAGGGAAAGAGAACAGGAGCAGAGACTCCGTTTTGACCTTGAGCGACTGTGATTTGGACTCGCCAGAAGCTGGAGATGCTCAGATTAAATTGTCAATCAAATCTCAGCCAGTATCCATTTCTGTGGGCTTCCATCACAAATCCTCGTCACGGGAGCATTCGGAGAACGAGTCTCTGTGTTCCGTCACCTCAGGTTATTCATCAACGGCCATCTCAGACGTTCTGAAGAGCTCAAGGAGGCACAGGCGCTGTTCAGAGCCCACGATTGGTCTTCTTGACTCCAAGTTTACACCGCTCGGTGGGTTTCACGAAAGTGCTGTGCGCAAAGCCAGCTGCGATGCTGTTCTGTCCCACACAAATGAAGACTATCTCGAGCAGTTTCGTTCTCTCCAAGTAGAAGGCCAGAAACTTATCAATCAGAATTTGGTCATGGGGATAGAAGTAAGCAGCAAGGATGGTCCCGAAAGTCGTATCAGTGAAAAGAAAGATGTTTCTAACCGTCTCCTCCTGCCGCCACCACTTAGGTTAAATATTTGCTCAAGGACTAGCTGTTCTAGCCTCTCGTCCCCAGGAACGTCCCCATCAGGGTCTTCGATGAGCTCTCTTGATAGTGCTTTTTCCCAGTTTTCGGACTATTCGGTGTTTACCCCAACCGAGGCTTCCTCTCCTCTAGACTGTGCCTCTCAGCCACAGAGGAAATTTGGAGAGGCTTCTCCTGATTTTAATCCCTTTTCAGGAGGCCACCTTGGATCTGGAGTTAGCGCTTTTTCTAACCAAGCCAACAATAACCAAACCAGCAGCTTGATACCTATTAAGAAAGACAACCTGGAATGGCTTCCTCACAAAAACCCGGTCACTCTGCACCCCAGCACATGGTTGAAAAGCGGTGCTTCCACCATGAAAAACTGGACTCTACGGAAAAGGGAAAGAGCCTCCAAGCAGGATGAGAAAAAGAACACTTCCGTGAAAATAACTTTGGAGTCAACAACATTTCCCTCTGAGAGTAATTTAGCTCAGGGGCAACAAGGAACGGGCAACGTTTGTGCCACTGATGTCAATTCTGTGGCGGGGCACTTGGGAAATGGATCTCCTCAGGACATTGGGCAGTTCACTAGCCTTCCTTTTTGTGTCATGGAGGCCCAGGAGAAACGGCTAAAGGCCTTGGAGCTTTTAGCAGAGCAAAGCAAGGAAGAGGAAGAAGAGGAAAATTCTACAGTGTTTCTTCCTCACAAACCACCACCACCCAGTCTTAAGCCACAGTCTCAAAATAAGCCCAAGCCAGAGGCTGATTTGGGGGCTGACCATCAGGGGGTCACAGAGAGAAAGTTAAACGAAACCGCACGTTTCCCAGGAGTTGCGGTCCAGCAAGCAGCAGATTCCAAAACTGATAAATCTTCATTGAGCAGACAGCCCAAAGATGCTGACATCAACTTGGAAAATGAATGTTATGCTTCTTCACACCCCTCAGTCAAGGCTGAGGATGAATGCTCATTTCAAATGGCTCCAAATCATAGCTTTTCCAAAACCCCGGAGGGAACTGATGCTAATAAAATGGAATGGCTGAAAAAGTTGTGCAGTGATCCCAAATTCAAGGATACAGACCAGAATTTTTTTACAGAGGAATCCTACGTTTGAGCAGCGGATATCAAAGAATGTTATTTCAATTTGACTTGGTATTGCTTTAATATCCAAGGAGGTGTCGTCTTCATCAGGGAACGGAGGAAGCTATTTGAGTGGAATGGTTTTCTTAGCTATATTCCTGCAATTTTCAAAGACATTTCCTGGTATCTAGGAAGGTCACATGGCACGTTTTAAGAGAAACACTTGATTGTATAACACTTAGCAAACACTTGTGTACGTGCTTGCTATGTAACTTTTTAAAAATAGCTCGGATATATTCTGGACATTGTAAATTTATGTTTCGTGTCCATGGTGATTTGGCTGTAATGTGTTAAAATCGGCTTGGCCTTCATAGCTTTGGTATTGTATTGCTCTTTTGAAGCCTATGGTCCATTTCATTGTTCTCCAAGAAAGGATGTCTTAAAGTTTTAGGAGGAGCTTGTTCAGTAATTGCAGTCATTTTCTTCCTTTACCAAGAGGGGAAAAAAATAATAAAGGATGACTTTTGACCTTTTTTGTAACTTAAAAGTCCAAGTTATATGTATATCACCATTCTATGTTCCATTTGGCTATTGATTTTTATTTGTCCCATATTTCTTTTTTTTTATAAAGATGCTCTCCAATGGCATTACATTTTGCTGGTGGTGGTAGTGATGGCATTGCAGGCAGAGCTTACATAAGTATTCTATGTGTCTTTATTATAATATATTGAAAGTAATGCAGTTATCTTCCAAAAGCTTCAAGATTGTATAATATATCTTCGTAATTTTTTTTTTTTTTTTTTTTTTTGCTATTGTATATGTTCTGAAATAAATGTGTATTTTTGTACATGTGGAAAATACTCGCCTTTTGAGTGGGTGGGCTCTGGCAGGGATGTGTAACCTTTCACTGAATTTTGAAATACAGAAGTGCATGCAGTCCTTGCTTAATGACCAAAATTGGGACCAGTAACTTTGATGTTAAGTGTTGCAGACATTAAGAGAGACATCACAGGACTGCAACAGACTAACAATGTTATTTCTGCCATGGTTGTTAAGTGAGATATCATGCGACCTTGCAATTACAATGCCCTTGACTCTGCTTGTGGAAGCCAGCTGTGAAGTGCACAAAAGATGATCATGTGACTAAGGGATGCTATGACAGTCATAAATACAGTTGTACCCCGGAACTCGTTGTTAATTGGTTTTGGGAGACATACTGAGGACTAAAAATACGTACCAAACAAACAATGTGACTTACCACTTCACCCTTTGTTTTGGCCAGGAAGGACTTTCTGTCTGTCCCTTTTCCTATGTCAGAGACCTTCCCAGCATGGCCGACTTCCTGTCCGCATTCTGGGGCCGTCCCCCTGCTTCCTTTTCTAGTGACATTCCCAGCATAGCCAACTTATACCAGATCAAGAGCAAATCAAACGAGAAAATTAAAATAGGTCATCAGTCTCCATTTTTGCAACCCTGTGATTTCTTCTTTTGCATTCCCAGTTCCCTTCAAGGACAGCTCTTCTTCTACTGTGAACTAAGCCTTGAACTGCTTGAATGGATTATTCAGTTAATGAGGCAGGAAGTCAGCCAGTAAAACAACTTCTTCTCAGCTTGTTTCCATTTTTTTTTAAAGTTGTGCTAAAGAAGAGGAAAGCTCTGACATTGACATTGGGAGGCTGTAATTTTGGCTCCTATTGATTTGGTGTTTTGTTGTGGAGGGGAAAACTCATAGCCTTCAGACCACCAAGAACTTTAGAATAATTATAATTTCTCACCCAAGAATGGGTGCTGCTTTGTGGGCTCAGGGCTGCCCACATACCATGTGTTTTTCTTACCCAACAGTTATTTGAGCATATGGAAGGAACTTCTATTGATCTGTTCATAATGGAACATGCTGGGTAATTTTAAAATTTGAGCGACTGAAAAGTAACCCCCCCCCCTTCAGAGGAGAGTCCCCTCAATCTGGGATTTTAAATTGTTTTGCTTTTAAATTGATTTTAAATCACTGCACTGTTTCCTTTAAACCAGATGGATAAGGAAGGTGGTATCTCTTAAAATCTATGATTCACTAACAAGCATCCAGTTCAAAACTGGGACTAGGACAATTAGACTGTTTATCCATTGTACCTGAGATGGTTAAATTTGTATGCGGCAGGAATAAAACTGCACATCTTAATAGTGTGGAGATGGCATTATTTTTGTTTTCTTGTAAGTAATATAAAAATATCCCCTATAAGTAAATCTCAAGCTTACTTATTTAGAAAAGTTATATGGCCATCCATCTTTCCTGCAAATTTCAGGCAGCTAAGAACAATCAATAAAAAGCAATACAGTGTAATAAAATGTTCAAATGTCATAAGCTCCTTTCATTTCAGGAGGGAATGAATTTCTACTCTTTCAAAAATAATTCAAACACAGAAAACATTGAACATTACAAAATGCTTCGCAGAATGGAAATCCAAAAATAATAAACTTTATTCTTCCATTTTTTTTGATGAGTTCAGGCAAAGGACTTCATTCAGAAAGCAGAATATTTGCAGTGTTGTTCAAGAACTTCATACATTAGCAGAGATTGTTTCTCTGCTTTTAAGCTAACACATATTCCTGAAAATGACGCCGAAAAACAAGATCAAGAAAATATTATTGAATTCAGTACACACTACAGATCTTTATGTTAAAGTGCCAATGCTAGTATCACCTAAGGCTGTGATGGCAAACTTATGGCAAGCGTGCCACAGGTGGCATGCAGAGTCCTTTGTGTGGGCACATGAGCCAACATCGGCCTAGCTCTGCTCCACCGCGCATGGGTGGGTGCCTCTCACTAGCCAACTGATTTTTGGGTCACTGCAGCGCATGCATAGGTGGTGGGGCACATGCAGGAGATGCGTGTGCATGTGTGGGGGCAGGGGTTACACATGCATGGATGGGGGGGAGCAGGGGGTGCAGTGCACCCCTGTGACCTGTTTTCAGTCCCAGGAAGTTGCAGGGAGGCCTACAGGCCCAGAATGGGACATGGCGGGTGAGCAGGGGGTGTCATGCGGACATGCGCTGGGGTGGGGTGTGGGGGTGTGTGTGGATGTCACGCATGCATTGCATTATGGGTGCAGGCGGACACACGCACTTTCAGCACGCAACAACAAAAAGGCTAGCCATCACTGACCTAAGGGATTCAGGAGGCCTGTGACAGACTTCCAAAGATATGTGTTCTGTTGTGTCACAAAAGCACACACACATTTTTGCTACTTCGCTTGTTCCAGAAACTCAGGCCTATGTCAGGATGTCAGAGTCCTTAAATTACATTTTTAATTTTAGACTTTGAGTACTTCGAGAGAAGAAGGCTTAGTTCCAGGAATCAAAAGACACCATGCAGCTGTTTCATCTCTTCCAATTTAATATATATTTTTCCTAAACTGAAAAATGGAAGGAACTGACAGGAAGGTTACAAGTAAAAGACACGATTATCTCTCTACCAGGAAAAAAAATTGTGGAGATGAAAGGATGAGACAATAAAAGCCTTGTTTGGAATTAATTAACAGATTTTTTTACAGTTACAAGAAACCACCCCCCTCCCCAATCCATTCTGAATCTCTAAAGAATTTGTGACATTTCAGATGATGCTAAAAGAGAATGACTGAATTCACACATTGTGCTAAGCCATGATTTAGCTAAAGTTTTGTAAATAAATCACGTGGCTGTGCAACATGTTATCTCAATCACGACAGTGTGAAATATATGGACATGTACGTAAGTGGGAAGATAGCTAAGCCATCATTTCTCAGACATCTGAAAGGTTTTCTTCCACCCAGAGAAGGCCTGTGGGCAGTGAGTTCTACAGCCTCATCAGCAGAGGTGATATTCAGTCAGTTCTGACAGGTTCTGGAGAACCGGTAGAGGAAATTTTGAGTAGTTCGGAGAACCGGCAAATAGACTGGCCCCACCCCCACTGAGTCCCAGCCTCCCTGTTGATCTTCTTTTGTTGCCCTGAACAGGAGGACGGAGCTGGAAAGCAGGTTAGTGGGGTGGGAATGGGGATTTTGCAGTATCCTTCCCCTGCCACGCCCACAAAGCCACACCACACCCACAAAGCCACGCCCACAGATCCGGTATTAAAAAAATGTTGAATCCCACCACTGGACATGAGCTGTAGCTGGCAGATGTTTTCAATCAACAAAACTCAATCGCTGAAACTTACCAAGAGGAATCTTAGAACATCACACAGCATCAAGCAATCCTCAATCCTTGGGTATCTAAAGGGAGGCAAGTGATCAAATGCATGCAATGAGATTGCAATGCAAAGGGCATGTGAGCTCTTTTCTTTGCATGTGATGTGTCGATGCCAAAAAGAAAAGGGCACAGGGTGTGTCATGACATCACGTTTCATCATTCGGGCACCACTGTGATTAGGAACAGATGGCTATATCCCTGCCCAAAAGAGGTTGCTGGCCCTCTGAATTGGTGGCTTTTTAAGAGCACCTTTCTCAAGCTGAAACCCATTGTAGGGACTGAACTACCGTAGTAAGCTTGTGATCTCAAGTTCTACTTTACAGCATTAAAGTAAACCTACTGACAGAGATGCTAGCAGTTGTCGGCCAACAGCTTCTGGATGATCAGTTTCTCGAGAGTTACCAGCTAGAATTCCAATGACTTGGTGGCTACGAAGGGAAAAGAAGAACTGTTGCCTTTTCACTTTGACCCCAGGCATTTCTGATTTCCTTTTGTGAGACAGAGTGATAATAAATCCCAATTTGCTACTCCCCAATGGCTGCCTAAGGGAAGAGGGCATCCTTGTGCCAGTCACATGTCGAGACCTAGAAACCAACAGCCTGGAAATCAGAAGCAAAAAGCTCTCAAGAGCCAAGATTTCACATTGAAGAACATTCTTGCTTCAAGGAGAAAAGCTTTTGTAGTTCTTCCTGCCAATAAAAGCTTGAGTGTTTGGAGTATATGGAAATGCCAAAATCACATTTATTCTAGGCAGTACATTCTATGTGGGGTATAGAATGATCTCCTGTGCCCTTATTAACCAAGGAAAGTCTTCTATTTCCATCATTCTTCTTTATTGATCTAAATACATTCAGGGTACATCACACTGTAGGGTTTTTAATTTTCTCCTATTATCTATTTATTCTCCAAAGCATCTGAGGACAGGACAGAAGTAGAGTGGATGATCATTAAATAGAGATCCAACCTAAAACTAAGGAGAGGGAGAGAGAGGAAGAGAGGGAGGGAGGGAGAGGGGGGAGAATATGCACTTTTTGCCCAATATTTTTATAACCACCACTTTTTTTTCCAACGGTGTAGACCACACATATGTCTTCTACTGGAAATTAGGTCCATATGTGCAGACTTTTCAATTTAGCAAATGAAAACATTTAAAGTCAAGAAGGCTGCATTTCACCAGTGAATTAGGATGCAGCATTAAAATAAATGGCAAACTGACTTCATTTAGATGTGATTAATCCATTATATCTAGATAATTTTCCCCTTTGTACCATTTGCCTTAAGCAGAATTATTAATACCATATGGCATTCCAGAGATGCACGTTTCGACCCATTTAATGACTTTTCTTGCCACAGTTGTTAAGTGAATCGCTGGAATTCCAAAGTTAGTAACACAGTTGTTAAGTGAATCTGGCTTCCCTATTGACTTGGCTTGTCAGAAGGTCGCAACCAGGGGTGAAATCCAGCAAGTTCTGGCAGGTTCTAGAGAACCGGTAGCAGAAATGTTGAGTAGTTCGGAGAACCGGTAACAGAAATTTTGAGTAGTTCGGAGAACCGGTAAATGCCACCTCTGGCTCGCCACAGAGTGGGGTGGTAATGGAGATTGTGCAGTATCCTTCCCCTGCCATGCCCACCAAGCCATGCCCACAGAACTCATAATAAAAAATTTTTAATTTCACACTGATTGCAACCATCATAAACATGACTCAGTTGCCAAGTGTTGGAATTTTAATCACATGACCATGGAGATGCTGTAAAGGTAATATGCGTGAAAAACAGTCATAAGTCCCTTTTTTTCAATGCCGTTGTAACTTCAAACGGTCACTAAACAAGTTGAGCACTATCTGTACGGAGCCTACAATCTTTCGGCCATCTACTCATAACATAACTGATCGCATCATCCATGACCTGCTGTACAGAATAGAAANAATGCCACGGAGCAGAATTTCTTCGTTCTTAATAGTGACTCACCCCAGGAAACAGAGAAAGAGCCTGTCCACCACTGCAGTTTTCTAAAGAAGCATTTGTCAAAGTCACGTAAGTTTGGCTATTTGTCCTGCCTTTGGATGGCAGTAGTGGCTGATGAACACGTTATTTCTAAAAATCTTATTTATATTTATTTTTTACAAGATCAGATTTAAAGGTCAACCACCTCACTCACAGAGCGATCCCTAAAAATCTTTTAAAATTATTTTTGGTCACTTTTTGCAGGGGCTGGAAAAACCTCCCAAGAGTTAGCTCTCTAGTCGTGTCTCAGGAAATTACTCTGTATGCCCTAGTTGCTCACATAAAGATAACAGCAATGATGATGATGATGATGATGATACTACCTCGATGACAGTGGTACCCAGGGCAATTGTTACCATGTCCAAGAATTTTATAAAACACATAAAGAAATCGCAGCTTTCTGCAATAACACCAGCGGAACTGCAAGCGACCCAGGCCGCCATACCACTACCGGTTCAGCTGAACCAGTCCGAACTGGTAGGAACCCACCACTGACCTTACCTTAATATTTCATTTTTCTTTGTTTTGCAGATCTGTGCTAAGGGTGATTCTGTTTCATCAGACTAGAAAGAATACAGGAGGTAAGAATTCAATGCTTAATAGCTCAGAATCTAGTTGGATAATTTCAAAAAGTGGGGGGATTAGAATTTTTTTCTAAATAATGATTTCCATCAGTTTTTCAAATGTGGCTCTTTTGTGGCTCAGCCTCGCTGTGTGGAGTGGAAGCTCTCCAAGCTGGGCCAACAGCTTTTGTGGAAGGGGAACCTGGAGGATTTCTCCCAGCATAAACAAATGTAGACCTTGGGCATAAAAAACAAATGAATGAGCCATTAAGAACAACTTGTAGAAAAGATTACATAGTGATGAAGAAGAGGAAGCAGGAGATGCAAATATTTCTTCTAAGATCATTGTCTTCTTCAGATAACAGAAGGGCAGGAAATA